ACATCATCGACACGTAGTCCAACCGATCCATGTATGGCAGGGCCTGAGTGTACGTCTTGTACTCCATTAGCTTCTCAGTGGCCCTATGGAGGAGACCGATGTGCGGGTCGGCCCTCAACACCAGCTCTCCCTTCAACTCGAGCACCAATCGGAGCACTCCGTGAGCGGCCGGATGTTGGGGTCCGAAGTTGAGCACAACATTACGCACGTGTCTCTCCATGGGTCGGGAGTCCATGTGTACGTCTTCCCAGCCCTCCCAACGGGTCGAGTCGTCCGGAACCAGACATTTGCTGTCCTTATAGGCGATGGTATCGCCGGCGAACTCATCCATGTATTGCTTGTCGGGGAACCACTTCTTGGCCATCGAGCGGCGCTGCGAGTAGTGTAGGCCACCAGTGGTGGCCAGAACTGGTTGGCGACGATCGGCGCACCGGTACAGGTGGTGGCGGCGGTGGTTGTCGTTGGGCTGATCGCAACCAATCGGACCATAACTCAGGCCAGCGGCCGACCACGTGTTCGGCACGTGTTTGGCCGCCAATAGGGTGCCGGTGTTGGCGGCGGCGGTGGTGGCCGTCGGGAGCCGTAATAGTTTCAACATGTTTGCCATTTATGAGCGCTTTTTTGACCACGAGTTTATAGCGCTTGCAAATCGCCTTGCTTATTTTTATGTTGATTATTTACACTGTTTTATTAGTGGTAATGGTTTTTCGCCAGTAGTCTAACGGCTAATCACATAATTTAATCGTTTAATTGTTGTTTATATTCAACGCTATATTAATGCTGTTTATTGGATGTGTTTGTTATTGAGTACTATTCATAAATACTATTACTTTATGTTTTGATATTTCCAATCAGCCCCCTTGTTATTATTAACACATATACAGATCCCTCATTTTTCTTAATACCCTTCATATTATGGTACAATGTTTATGAATTAATCATAAATAACGTACTGACTGTTATTAAACATCATTTGTTGCTAACGGTTTTTACTGTACATTAAATCTCTATATTTAAACCTTTGGACCGTTTTGTCACTACAGTATATATAGAGTTCATAGACTATAATAGGCCTAAAACTCTGTACTCCCAATACTGCTCCCATTTAAAGATCGCAACACATACTGTGCACTTATGGTTATGGATACTGTGTCTAAATACTATAAAAATTTAATATTTTACTAGTGTGCAATAAATAAGTATTATTTCTCTGTAAACATGACCATTTATATTTTTAAATTAAATATTTTAAAGCACATAACACAATAGCTAATTGATTGATAATGGTTTATTTTACTTTACAAGCTTTTTTGCCATTAGTGTGGACGTCATTTGCGTAATACATAAACTTTACAATTAACTAAAATAAGGCTACACAATTATGGTCAGACAACAATTACATCCAACAACCACACAACACGATTATGTTGAACTGGTTTAAGCACTTTCAATTAAATCTACAAACAATAAACCAACGCAACTAGTTTATTTAATTAACAATTTACAACTATAGCTTGAGTACACTGTATTTGCACGTACTTGATGACAGGCCCACATGGGCTGACTTACACACACACACACACAGCGATACAAAAGCCATTGAATCGTATTATTAATAGACATACAGAGAGAGTGAGTGATAGAGACATACAGTGAGTGCAAAATGTCTGAAACAGTGAGCGATACGACTGCGGCCACAGCGCCGACCACTGGGCCCACAGCGATGGACACGACCGGCAACGCCAACACCACCGCCGGGACGGGAGGAGTGGTGACCAACACATCGCCCGCCGGCCAGACGGGTGTGGGCTCTGTGATGGGCTCGACGCCGGCGCCGGGCGGCGGACCCGCCAAACTGGACTACGAGTTCAGCAAAGAGTTGGACACGTGGGTCGAGCAGCTGATGGAGTGTAAACAGTTGACTGAGCAACAGGTGCGCCAACTGTGCGATAAGGCCAAAGAGATTCTCTCCAAAGAGAGTAACGTTCAGGACGTGAAGTGTCCGGTGACGGTGTGCGGCGACGTGCATGGTCAGTTTCACGACCTCATGGAGTTGTTCCGTATAGGCGGTCAGTATTGGATTGTTTTTGTTATGAATTGGGTTCACCACAGAGGGTGAGAGAGAGAGAGAGAGCTGTTTGTTGGGCGCGTCAATTGTCGGCTCCCTTTACGGCTCACTCTCTCGCAGACTCTTTGAGACTCATTAGTGGTCTCAATAGATCTCTTAGATTATCGTTCAATAGTCTCTCTCTCTCTCTCTCTCTCTC